CGCCACGTGTGAATAATTTAGCACTAGCCAATCACGGGGAACGAATTTGCATACCGGTAGTGGGAACTCTTTTGCACCATGCATCCCTCTTGCAACATGAGCAATGCACCCTGCAAAAGAAGCTGCAGAAAAGGCGGGAAACTCGTCCCTGCACCAGGGTTTCCTCTGCAACAGGAAACTCTCCCGTGCAACGAAGCTGCAACTTGGCGGGGATAATTCTGGTGCCGAAGCACACACAAAATCATGCCTTTTGGGTCATGACACCTTTGAACTGAGAGATGTTATAAGCAGGTGCAGCAGCAGTAGTAGTAGCACGTAGCTGGGTGGGGGTGGAGAGGGGGTTGCTTGAGCCACAAAATTCTGAGAGAATGCTCTATGCTGTGCTCCAACTCAGACACTAAGTGATACTGCTCTGCTCTGCTCTGTCTGGACATCCAGGCTTGCCTCCAGTCTCATTCTGGTGACCTTCAATTAAGCTCAAAGCTTTTTGGTTTTTATGAAGGGCTCCATTTTTTACTGACTTTACCAACAGGCATTTTTAGGCTTGTTTTTTTTTTTATGGACTGCCAACAAATATACAGAGAGTTGGCAAACCTGGATTGGTAGCTTATCTAGATAACAGTGACAGTAATGACAACAAAAAGTGCATTGGAGAGCAGAATGTAAACTGGTCTGTGCTGGGACTGGGTAGATTACCCCATATCTGCCTATAATAGTGTTTCTTATTCCTTTCTCTGCAGTGTGTGATACCAACCACTGGCTGAGACACTGGAATAGATGGTCTATAGGTCAGATCCAAGATGACAGTTCCTACTTTACTATGTAGTTCTTGTTACTGAGACTATGTAGTTGTTCCTTCAAGAAAACTCTAGAAAGTAGGGCTGCCCTTTATGTCGATACCACGATGTGTGCAAAAATTATATGAAGTTGTTCATCACCAATGTAGAAACCTGGGGAGAGTGTGCAGAATCCTATCCAATCTGGAGAGAACATCTGGCACTGGGCACAGCTCAACATGAAGCAGGTTTGATCCAGAGGATAGCAGTAAAGTAAGAAAGAAGCAAGCAGTGAGCTGTAAACTTGGTCTCCAACTCAGACAACACATGAATCTGCAAAATTTGTAACAAGCTGTCACTTTTGAATTCAGCTTGTCAGCCACAAGTAGATTTATCAGGCATCTGACTAGACCTCTTATGTGTGCGCCATGATACAGAATATCAACGGCTGTTTATAACTGCTACCGAGCTGAAATGTCTTACTATGTGATCAGAGGAATCTGCCTAGCATTAACAGAGATTGGGAAAAAACAATTTTTAATGAACAAACTTAGAGGTTAGAAGGCCTATATCACCCAAAAAAGGAAACATCAAGAATTGTTAAGTGTTGTAAAACAGTATATTGTCTGGACAGATATGTAACCTTGACAGGGTAAGTTATGATCTGAATGCTACATAAAAAGACTTCAGGCCTGGTTGAATTTTCTAGAGAATAATGATTAAAACTTCCATGTTTGCCTTTGTCAGATTAATTTATTCCTTCCTGCATCTATAAGCATTACGTATGCATGACATTAAGTTATGATTTGTGTTTTTAGTTGACATTTTAATTTCCTATAAATATAGATAGTTCATATTTGCTACAGTTTTTTCAGAATATTCACACTTTAAAATGAAAATAAGAATTTCAGTTTCTTACCTGAGAAGCTTGGATATATGAAATAAAGCAAATGAGATCTAATTTTATGTTTTTAAGAGCAGCCATGTCCACCTGAAATTCTATCAGTTTCAAAAAATCATTGATAATTATTCCAGATACAACCTCTCCACTTGTTTCCCTTTCCAGTTTCAGTACTATGCCATCTAATTTTTAAAAGGCCCAGGGTCAATGGGAATTAGGCTCCTAACTCTGGACTTGGGTCTTTCTGGCTAAGCCATTACTATTGTAGAGTTTTTAAACTGTTCTTTATCATAGAAGAAGAATAGAAGATCCAGGGAAATCTGCACAGTGAACCTGTGGTGGGCCCAGCTGTCTGTGAACCTGGAAATAGTTGCATTTGCAGAAGAGGGGAACCCTACAGACCCACAACACCCAGAAAAGGGAACCTCAAGTCCTATAAGCATCTGGCCCCATCTTTTTTTGCCAGACAGCATGAAACTAACAGGTATTCTGTCCCACCAGAAACTCAGCTTCCTGAGAAAGGTGCTGGCATAGTACCACTGAACTTTCAGGAGGCTTTCTTCTACCATTGGAGGGGACAACAGCAGCTTTTCCTTCCCTTGTCCCCTGGGAGTTCTTGGATCCCATTGGATCCCAAAGTCAAAAATGCATCTACCAAAGGGCTTTCATGGCACTGCAGTAGGGAATAGAGCCAGATCCATCTCTAAATCTGAATAGTTATGAAAATAAAGGAGTTAATGTAGCCCATAGAAATCACACCTCTGTGTCTTTTGAAATGGGCACTGGAGCCAAAACTGATTTTGCCACTGACTTGCAAATCTTATCCCAGCATGAGAATATTCCCCAAAAATAACACATGTGCAAAACTGCATTGCAAAATGACAATAGAAAAGCCCTTAGAAGAGCAAAATTGTAAAAATAGCATTTTTATTTGTAATCTTTCATGAAAATCGCTTATAATAACACATCTTCACAGAGTTAAAATATTTTGCATAGAAATATCATAGATTTCTCTCTTGTTATATTACAATACAATCCTGTTGTACAACTCTACAGTCAGCAAAGTATAAGGACAAGGACACTGGAAACGTTTACAACCCAGTCATGCCAATTACCATTCACACCATATTTACAAAAGGAAAACAGTGCTAACATCAGGCAATAGCCTTCATTTGTATTTGCAAAGCATGACACTCAAGTGAGCCTATGTGCTCTGACAAAATGTAATATAAATGAATGGTTGTGTATGCATCCTCAGTTCCTTCTGTGGAGCTGGGTTGTATCACACAGCCATAGCCCTGAGTCAAGGGGTAGAAGAAGATGCCATGCCCAGGACAGCTCAAAAAGGACTTGTGACTCATGAGCAACACCCTTTCTGACAGCCCCCTGGAGATATTATTCCTGCCAGAAGCACAAATAACTGATATAGATTTGTGTACAACAACAGTGTAAGTAGTCAGCCTTCCCTCTTGTTCTGTATGTCCCACTCTAGCATGTCACCCTGTTGCTAAATGATAAAGTGCCTAGTGAGTGACATTGTAAGAAAGTACTGCCTGAAATAATATATCCTATGTGCCCAGAAGCTGAGTCCCTCTGTTTGGACAATTGCACCAGCCATGCCAATAGCCATGCCATCAGGCAAAGAAAGAGAGCTAGAGAAATAGCTGTAAGAAGCTAAATCTGCTTGAGATATGCCTGTACAGGGAGGATTTGGCAAGGCATAGAATTAGGTGCAATATGGCATTCTGCCTTCTGAGGTCCATCCGAGCAATGCAGTTTTGTGCACCTCCTGTCTCCAGGCATTGGCCAATAATCATAATCTAGCCCACAAAGAATAGGACCCTTCATAGAAGAAATTAAGGCCAATCTCTCTTATTTGCCTAATCATTTCTGCACTGAAGCCATGCCCTGTTATTCAAAAGTGCTACCCAAATGTTATTTTGAAGTGAATTCTATACCAGAACTGGGTGATGGCACATAGCCAAAGGCAAATACAGATGCAGAGAGAATTCAGCTTTATATGAAATACACAATCTGTAATGCTATGTAATGATCCTCAGCCAGGATGCATTGGTACCCTGGGTTGCTGTGGGATCCTCTTAAGGGTGTCACAGGGCAAAAGTAGTGCTGTTATGTGTGCAGACTTTTACCTACAATTCACAAGATAAACCAAGCGATTTCAACTAGGAACCCAGAGTATCAAAAGCATTCTGACCTGCTGTGATCTTTGTTGACTTTGCAACAGAAGAATTGCTTTATTATTTTCTGTAGGCAAAAAATGAGTGAAAGCTAAAATGTGGCATTTTCTGAGGGGTGCCTTGAATTTTAAAAGGTTGAGAACCACTTCTATAATGGAACCGTTATTCTTTCCATTTATTATTTTCTTGGCACTAAAAATTGTGTCATACTGAAAGACACACAAGTCTACACGTGCACTGGATTTCACAGTTGTTACAGCACAGTCATTTAATACTTGTTTAAGTAAGTACTAAATGATTGTGTATTAGTAACTGGCATTACTGCGCAGAGCCAGCACCACACGGGTAATTTCTGATGCTACTGCACGGTAGCATCAGCATCATGGTACTGTAGCTCATTACTATGGTGATGTAGCATCTCATGTAGATGTGCCCGCAGTGGCTAAAAGAGTTCTAGTCCCAAAGACTTTACAGTCTAGATGTGATAAAGATAAGAAAAACGCCATTTGTTTTTAAGCTGGTAAAATATAGGGCCTGACCTAATACACACTGAAATCAACAGAAGACCTTCTGGCTTCAGAGGGGTTTGTCAGGAGCAGAGGGAAATGAAATCACATATCAGATTCATTTTAGTAATTTCTTAAGAGGTAAAAGAGATTATGTCATCTCTTAATTGCCAAATGATCCCATTTCAGAGTTGTGATAAAGCTTAATATTTAGCAGGTTTTTTTCACACACACAGATTTCTATTTAAACTCCATGGTATACTTTTGATTACAGGAGCCAATTAAAGGCCTCTCATTTTCTTTTGGACCACTGATTGGGGAACTAAACTGGTACTCATGAAGCCTATGTTCAATTCCCTCCTCTGCCACTGACTTCCAGAGCAACCTTGGGCATATCACGTGATTTCTCCGTGCCTCACTTTCCCAGTTGTAAAATAAGATAATTTTCCATTCCTTAATTCATAGTATGGTTACTAAGAGGAATAAGTTATAGATTCCAAGGTGATCAGATACTGCAGCAAAGAGGTATGTATTCAAATGAACAGATCTTTTAAAAATATATATGTTAAGGTATTAAGGGAAATTAACTTATATATAAAAGTCAGCAAAAAGGCTTATGCTATAAGTGTGTGTAGGCAAATTTTCCCAAGAGTCCGTTAGGTTCAAATGAATATTTACCAGATCTTCTCATATAAAGGCACACTGAAGCTATTAGCAAACTAACTATTAGTGCAACTCCGAGTAGAACTCCAAGAACAATCACCGCTACCTTCCAGGCAGAATTTTGTTCAGTAGATGAACTTGTAGATATTGCTGCAAATTGAAAATATATTTTAGAAATGTTAGTCTGAAATGTCAGATAGCTTGGAGCATTAAATGACATACATTTAGAATCATAGGGCCCTGCCACATATTCAAATTAAAGCTGGATTAGAAACCAGCTATAAAATTGTTAGTGCTTGAAAATGTATAACTCTGTAGCTGGTTGCTCTTTTTATAGCTGAATAGACATTTTTACGGCATGATAATTATTTTGTATATGTGGCCAGTCTAAATTTATTGTACAATTCACCATTAATTGCATAATACATGTAATGTGCAGCAGCCATCATAGAAACGTAGAGCTGGCAAGGATCTCAACAGCCCATCTGGTCCAGCCCTCTGTTCAAGGCAGGATCATCTCTGACTAAATCATCTCAGCCAAGTGTCTGTCTGACCTGCTCTTAAAAACGTCCAAAAACGGAGAGTCCTCAGCCTCCATAGGTAGCCTGGTCCAATACTTAGCCACCTTCAGAATAAGAGGGTTCTTCCTTTAACTTCTTCCATTTAACTTCACTTAACTTCAAAAGCTTTGCAAGTGAGACCATTCTAATCATAACAGTAATCTTTCTTATTCCTTGGGGTTGGGTGGCAAGCAGCTCTGATTTGGGCTTACTCACATGGTAGTGATCACATACATAAGTAATTTTACTCCATCTACTACAGGGCCCTTGGCACCCCAGACTGGATCCAGACCACGAGAAGCCTTATGGGCAGGGTCTGGACCCACCACTGGTGGCAGGACACATGGAAGGGTTCACTGTCACAGGTTCCTGAGCCACAGGCACTTGCCACTCATCCCCTCCTTTCCCTCCCCCACCCCTCACTGACACATATCCTCAGTGGGGCTCTGTGTTCCTGAATTTAGCAGTGGGCTCCCACCTTGGTTGCCCCAGTGCCAAATTTCTGGCCATTTCAGGAGTCCTGCAAGCCAAATAATATGACTCCATGGGCTGGATACAAGCTGTAGACCATATCTTTTGAGACCCCTGCCCTAGTAGGACTATTTTTCTAGCCAAAGTCCTATTTTTAGAATGTCTTGTTACAGCAAAAATAGTATACATCTTTCCTTTCCCTTCCTCTTACAGTAAAGAGAACCCAACATTTCCCTTGTACATCTCTGAATTTGGGACTAAGCCCCAGAATATTTCACTTGAACATTCCTACGGAGTGGCATCTAATGTACTTAAAAGAGAGCAGTAATCTACAATCCAGTTGGAATATGCTCATGTAAACATTGCTTGAAGAGCTGGCTCATAAACCATGCACCTTTTATAAAGTAGGAATTAATATGAATGATCTTGAAGCAGTGCATGCGTGTGGGTGCGTCTACACGAGATGCTACGTCACTGTAGCAACAAGCTATATTGATGCCGCTGCTACTGAGCAGTAGCTCGTTGCTACTGCACAGTAGGGTTGGAAACGACCAATACAGTGCTGGGACTGCTCCGTAACAGCTGCGCAGTTGGGCACATGTGTAGACACACCCAGTAGGTACTTTAAAAAATCCTTTTGGTAGAAAGGAGAAGCTGTTTTAGTAACACTTACATTGCACAGTTATTTCAGTTTGGTTCCCAAACTTCACGTTTACTATCTCACTTAAATATTCTTGAAAATCCTTTGCTTCAAAGAACTGTTGCCCTTGTAGAAGAGAAATAAAAGAAGCAATCACGCTCCCAGGTTTGAATCTGATTTTTGTGATAGTAAAGCTGTCATCATTCAGTTTTCCTTGCATCTCTGGAACAATCTGGAGAAATGTAAATCAATATTTATTCCTCAGGGACAGAAAATGGATAAGGGGCAAAGCAAGGATAGGATACTGTCTACCTACACCAACAAATTCCTTTTCTGCATGCACCATTCTTAGAAGATATTTTATTCCTTTTAGAATAACAAGTAATTGGCTAAAGGGCATGAGCTTTGTCTACAACACAAAATGTTTGCCCAAAAAGGGTTCTCTAGTAATGTACAGTACGCAATTTAAAGTATGAAACTCAAGTTTCACTTTTGGAGCAGCAGTCCATACACCTATCCATCAGTCAGCAATTCACGCACCACATTCTACAGACTATATCTGGGATTCCAGCAACACTTATTGTTGTGTCTGCAATGCCCATTTAACACTTCTAAAATTCCTTTTAGGGCCTCCTCAGACTTTGCAATGTATAGTGTATTTCCTAACATATCACATGCTCCAAATAGAACATGCAATTTTTGAGGAGAAGAAAATAAAAGGATTTTCCAGAGTTAAGACTGCAGAGAGCAGGGACAGAGCCTAATCTTCAGTTCACCCTCCTTTTCTTGCTCAAGCAAAAGCTACAGTTTTAAGTCTTTCACAGCTGAATTAACAGCCACTCTTGCATATTCATTCAAAAGCTGAAACTAGCCACTGCTGAAGACTAGACTCCATGGGTGAATCCAGGAGTTTGAAAACAGCTATAAACAGTTTATAGGGCTGTGAAATAGGAAAAGAGAGACCAGTGTAGCTAACCAACAGTAAAACTGCCAGAGAAAGGATAGCTTGGTTAGTGGAGCATCAAGGCCATTAAAAAGGAAAATGGATCATCAACACCTGTGGAGCAGGGATCAGCTAGATTACAATGAGCCATTTAAATGTCCATTGACTATGTCTGTGCTGCCTGAAGAGAAATGCTACAGCTGCTGCTGCACAGTTAGTTTTAAACTTTGGGTGGAGCAGGGATCAAAACTGAGTGTGCCTGCACTGCTGCACCCCACCCCTCCCCTGCACCTCCCACACACCCCAGATATGCCTCTCCTGTACTCTGCCCCTCCCTCCAAGCAGCTGCTGGAGGGAAGAGAAGGACAAGGAAGCAGAAGCCATCTTACAGCATCCCCATGCTTTTATTCTGAGTAGAAAATCAACTCCGCTGCTTAAAACATGCACCCCAATTTTCAAAGGCTATTTTCTGGGAGAAACATCCATGTGGTATGTGAGTAAATATGGTAGAGTTTGACTTCCTGCATACTTTTTGTACACATCCAGAAACTGCCTTTAGCATCTTAAAATGGAGGCAATGGTGCTACTGTCCCAAACAAATGCCTCAAATAGCTTGGCCAGTGGTTTATCACATTAACAAGATCATGATGGTACAGAATAACTGTATAAAGGAAAGACAAGGGCCCCAATTCTTCTCACAACCACTTTGCTGTAAAGCAAATGTAATCTCACTGGATCTCTTAGAGTGACTCCAGATATACAGCTTGGCTCAGTATTTTTTGTGGATAGGGGGAAAAAAACCTGAGAATTCCCCTTCTCTGAGGTAGATTAGCCAAATGTTTTCTGTCAACCCCACTTCTGTTTGAAAATTTGATTCTAGACTATACATACTTTTTTAAGTGCTTTTAAAATCCACAAACTTTTGCTTTTGCATAAAACAAGCTTAAAATGAGCTAATTATTGCTTGTAAAATGTGTGGAAAGTATTTCAAGTGAAAGGCATGATAGACATGCAAAAATATTTTCTTTATTATTCATATAAATGATAATTTCTCCCAATCTTACAAAATATTCCCTCTTTCAACTGACTCAGGCAGATATGTATCTTTGACTTGAGAGTAAATTATTATTAGTTCTTTCATGGTGTCTGGGTGGCACAGGTTTCAGTTGTGGTAAGCTGTTTGATTTTCTTATGTTGTTCGCCGTTCTAAAGTCCCTATGTCCCATGCTGATGTTATTCTATCTAAATGCCCTTAATTCAATTAACTATTATGACTAAGGCTACCTAAGTGCTTAAGTTATAATATTCTGCAAAAAGAACCCAAATTCTACTTAAATGTTCTAAACCATTGCTTTAGAACAATTATAGTTCCTACTGTTAAATAGACTTAGGTTTAACAAGAGTGAAAGAAAATAAAATGGAATGAAACACTTCTCTTCTTTTTGTTTAAAACTTTCTACAGGTCCCCCATGGTAAATACCATATTTTCTTGCACAAAACATGCTCCTGAATATAACACACACCCTATTTTTAGAAGGTCCCATGAAGGAAAAAAGATCTTACCTGGAATATGGGTAAGTATCTGAGGTCTGGGGTTTCAGGATCTGGAGCTGTGTGCTGGAGTTCAGGTCACATGGTGGGGCCTGATCCAGTGAACTGGGGCTGGGGCCACCCAGCAGGACCTTGTCCAGCATGCTGGGCTGCACTATGGGTTCAGCCATGGACTGACCCCACACACTGGCCTGAACTGACTGGCTGTGTCATGTCAGCCAAATGGGGTGCTCTCCAGGGGTCTGGAAATCTGGCAATTAGGAAGTGGTGACAGTGTTAATTGCTACAGCTCCCAGAGAAGCTCCAGGAACCATGACAATTAACATGTCATTGCTTCCTCACCACCAAATCTCCAGATGCCTGGGAATCCATATTTCTCGCATATAACGTGTCTGTATTTCCCTTGGCTTGTTTGGAGGGCAAATTTTATGCAATAAAATGTGGTAGTTTGCATTTGAAAGCTCAACAGGGAGCAGAAATTTTTTCTTCTTCTGCTCTGATAGTTCTTTTTAGACACATTGTTTTAGGTTATTTTATCCATACAGGCTGGGCAATTTTTTAAATGCAGAATCATATCTAAATTTTGGTTGCTCTGTCAGCCTCAGTGAATGATGCTGAGACACGCAACAATTTTATTAGTCCGTTTGTGATGATGAAAAAGGACAATCCATACAATGACTATCCACTAAAAAACCCCATTGGGCGTGTGGTAACTTACTGTTCTGATTCTTTCAGACAACGTCTTGTACATCGGACTATCAAAGTTGTAAAGGGACTGGTTGAATTCTAAGTCTTTGAACAGAATGTCACAAGCAAAGGCTTGTTTACCTGAAGAAAACAAAGCAACAGATTAAATTAATCCCTCACCTTCACCCTGCATTATCATCTTCTTGTTGGACTTTGCTATCCCTCATCATTGATTTTCAACATTACATTGATAAAAATGTAAATGAATTAAATAAATACAAAGCAACCAGTAACTTGCATTCCTCAGTTAATGTACGATTAGGGGTCTACTTAAATTGTGGCTTTGTGGATTTCATGGAAACCTGAAATCTGGGATTGTCTGTGAAATCAACAACCACAAAAAAACTTTAATAAAAATAAAATGCAGGCTCCTCAGTGGGAGCCAACAGGCCTTGCTATCGCTGTGGTCCAATCTCACAGACCACGTAGAAAAGGGAAGTGCCGGCTGGTGGGGCAGAACGAAGGGCAGCAGAAAAGATGGCAGCCGCCCCCTCATCCCTCCCCCCTGCCATCTTCTCCACCAATGAGCACCAAGGGGCTACTGGAATGCATCTGCACAATGTCCCCAGAGTTTGATCTTTATGCTACAACAAAGCCATGAAAATTAGGAAATCTAACTGTGATTTAAGAAGCCCCCTAGTTATGATTCTTTACTATTTCAATTCTCATCCTTCCCTAAACTTCACCCTCCCCTCTTCACAATCACCACTGCTTGCTTATCAGACCTTGCCACTTAGATGCCAGTTTCACAGTAGTATAATGAAGAGGGGGTGAGCAGGGCATGAGCCCTAGGCACTGCCTAAGGAGGGTGGAGATCACCAGAATGGAACAGGGGGAACCTCCCCCTCTCATTCCTGATCCTCTCTCTTCCTGAACCTTCTGGCTGCAGACCCACATCCAAGCAGCAGCAGCATAGGAGCATGTATGAGTGAATGAAGGGCATTTTTGGAAATGCAGTTCTGGGAAACATAATCTCTTCTGCTGTGGGGAGAGGTGATCTACATTTTTTGCCCCTTGATATGCATGTCAGTGGCAAAAGATGAGGTGATCTCTCCCCTCTGCATCAAACCTCCAACTGCTGCTCCTGCACTGCCACCCACTACTAGAGCCTCTGGACCCAGAGCCCTGCAAAAAAGGTGCAGGGGGACAGGGAGAAGGAGTGCCCAGGGCTCGGTCCTGCCTAGTTATGCTTGTGCGGTTATGGCTAGTCCTGCTACCATAACATTCATTGCTGAAATTCCCTTTGATTTGAATGAGAGAAAGATGGGGTGGCTAGTGATGGGTCCTTCAAGGTTTCAGGCATTCTGCGCAAGGTGCTGAATTAGCTCCTGTGGACATTGTTGGGGGATCCCAAAACAGGTAAAGTAAACTTAGACTCGGCTGTCTTGTGTGAACATATGAACAGCGGCTGAAAATGAAGCTCAGAAGGGGCTTTTTTACCCAAAAGCTAAAGGGGTCTGTATTTCAGTGGTTAGAAGAACATGTACACCAGAGGATAAATTACATATCAAAGATACTTGCTGTCTTGTGAGTTGTTATCCAATAATCAGAAATGAATTTAAAGTGCCTAAAACTTACTTGAGCATATTTGGTCATTTGAGACTAAACAGCCAGTGTCTTTTTGCGTGCAGAATTCAGCGTTGTTGAAACAGGGAGCAGGGTCTGTGAAATAAGAGCAAAACCAAGTTAATTGTTTTCTGCAGATGAGCGTATGTTCTCCCCCACCCCGCCCCAGAAAGCCGTCATCACCAGGGATCCTGGTTTTCTGATTTAAAAAAATTCCCAGTTTTCAGTTAATGTAACCCTAAATCCACATTTTTCCATGATTAAAATGAAACACCACTATACACACACACACACACACACACACACACATTTGTGGTGTTTCATTTAAATCATGGAAAAATGTGGATTTGAGGTTACTTTTTTTTAACCAAGAATTGGGGATTTTTTTAAATCAGAGAAAACCAGGATCCCTGGTCATAACTGTCTAAAGCTAAGGTACCAAAGTTCTAAGGTAGGGCAGATAGGACAACATATTGAGAACATAAGCAGTGTATATTTTCTCTTATTTTTCATTCTTTTGCGATAATAACTCTCTGAACCCCAAGTGTCAGCCACCATGAACTGAAAGAAGCAAAGGAGATATATTCATAATAAAGGGGTTTGAATCTTTTTTCAAACATGTCACTGCAAGTTGAAACAATTCTGAACTGGACTGGTGTAAAAGTGGGGTGAAAGGATATTTGTGAGACAGGGCTTCATGCACATTACTAACAGTATTTTCCTCTTATTTAAAGTCCAGGAACTCTTACTATTTCCTATGGGTGCAAAAGCTAAACGTTGGACAATACATACTTGCTTAACTCAGTCTTGTAGGACTGGAATGTCAAAGCACAATGCCCTGGGAATTTAATTCAAACTGTTAGAACTACTAAGATAGTATTCATATATGTCTAAAGTTCTAGAAAAGATAGCCTGTATTTTCTAGGAGTGGCATGTGATGCTAGAATTAACTACTTTTTTTTTATAATGCTGAGGTGCAGTGATAATACAAATGAATTAATAATAAACCCCATCATGCAGGTACAGGGACATGTAACTTTAATTTGGGCATTGCCTGAATTTTGAGTGTTAAACTTGTAGCCTAAATGTTCACTTAAAGTGACTTTTTTCACAGAATTCTTTTGCATACCTAAATGGTATCACCAGAACATGTATCAAAATAAAGATCTTTCTCTTTCATCTAAAACAAGTAGCCCCATTGAAGTCTGTAGAAGGAGACACATAAATAAGGGCAGATTCCCAACTAAATTTAAAACCCCCCCAGATACTATGTGAGTTGATTTGTAAAAAGTGGTTAGATTACTACTAAAGTACCTGCTTGAACAGTCACTGAAGTCTTGATCTTCTTAGCACAACTTAAAGCTTCGACAGATACTATATATATCTGACCAGGAACCAGTTTATTAAAGGTAGCATGTGTTTCATTTGTTGTTTCATTAGCCTCTACTCTCTGATCTCTCAAGAGCTCCACAGTGTAAGGACTGTCTCTTCTGTCACCTTTAGGTACCCACTGAAGTTGTATCTGTTCGCTGGTTACGTTCTTAAGTTGTATGGAAATGCTAAGTGGAGCTACAAGTAAAAAAAATGGCGTGAGGCATTTACTTCATTTTTGTTATTCTATAAATTATTTTTTTAATGAAAAACAAAATATTTTTATTACTACTATTATGTGAATCCCCATTACAAACACAATTTGTAGATTTTCTGGGCTAGCATAACAGGCCACATTTTAGCTTCTGATACACATGCATCTCTCTCACTGAATCCAAGAAAGGCAGAACTCAGCCCTCTGTAAATGTAACAAGTTACTTTACAAATGAACATCATATTCTAAAAGATTAATTTACATCATTTGGATTGTCTGGAATTTACGTTCTCCTTTTTTTAATCTCTCACTACAAATTTAGGACATCTTCACTAGTAAGTAGCATCAGATGCTGATGGGTAGCCCCTGATGTTGGGATGATACATTTTTTTTAAAAAACTCAAAAGTCAGGAAACATAAGAGCTCTATTACATCATAGGGAGAAATAAATATAGCTGCTATGGGGATAATCATTTCACAATTGTGCTTAATAATTACAGTAAGAGTTGCTTCATTGTCCATAGAGACAGACAATTTGGCCCATGTCTAGCACTTCTGAAGACTCTGCATGGATTCAGGTAACTGCCTTTCCTGATCCAGCTACTGTTTGGAGTCTGAATCATAATTCATATCCACACATATTTTAGTAGTTAAACTTTCTTTCTTAAAACTACATTTGTTACAGATATTAGATCACAATTAAAACGCCTCATGAATATGAACACTTAATCAGATTTTCAGAGTACCATAGAAAGTTAGGGCTGGAAGGGACCTAGAGGTTATCTTGTCCAGCCCCCTGCTCAAAGAAGGATCACCCATGACTAAACCATCCCATTCAAATGCAGGGCCTGCCTGTCCTATCCTGTGAAACCTGCGGCCACAGGGAGCCCCACAGCCAAGGGGCCCCCTGTATCCAGGCACTCACCAGCCCCCAAGCCTCCCTGCCGCAGCTGCCGCTGGCTTCACATCCATCCGCTTGCACACCCCACCTCCCGCTCCCCCACCACCAACACTGGCTTCTTTGCATCAGGGGCCCCAAAACTGTATTTTGCAGGGGGTCCCAAAAATTGTGGGCTGGCCCTGTTCAAGTGTCTGTCTAACCTGCTCTTAGAAACATCCAAGGATGGAGATTTCACAGCCTCTCTAGGCAGCCTATTCCAGTGCTCAACCACCCTCACAGTCATGAAGCTCTTCCTAAGATCCATGCTAAATTTCTCCTCCTGCAATTTGAGATCCTTGCTCATAGTCCTGTCCCCTGTGGCCACAGAGAATAGTCTATTTCCATCCTCCATCTAACCACCTTTCAGGTCTTTGAAGACTGTCATCAAATTCCACTAAGTTGTCTCTTCTCCAGAGGAAATAAGACTAGTTCTTTCAGCCTTTCTTCATAAATCACATTTCCCAGGTCTCTAATAATTTTGGCACTCTCATATTCATCTTATTATCCACTGTAACCCCCAGGGCCATTTTATGCAGCAATACAGCCTAGCTGCATTCTCCAGGCTGCATTTGTGCATGCAATAATTCCATCCTAAGTGCAGGACTTTACATTTGTCCTTGCTGAATTCCATGGGATTGATTTCAGACCATTTCTCCAATTTACCAAGGTCACTCTGAATCTTTGCCCTAACCATCTGTGTGTTTTCAACTCTACACAACTCAGCCTCATCTGCAAATTTGCTAAGTGTGAAATCAATCCCATCCTCCAAATCATTAACGAAAATATTAAACTGCTGGCGGCAAACCTTTTTGGTAGTGGTGCCACAAATTAGCACCATGCAATTCCCAAGTGTCACTTCAATCCCTTTCCCTGCCAGATCTGCTCCTCTGCTTCATGCTCTCAGCCCTGCGCCCCTTGCTTGTTCAAATGCTCTGCTTTCTGCTCCCTGCCCTAATTCTGCTGCGCTGCCTGTCCCTGACCCAATCAGCTGCAAGCCACACACAGAGGTTGTCTGTGCCACACAAAGTGCCTGTGGTGCAAGTCAGCCATATGATATAAATTAAAAATACTGGATCCAGGACAGACCCCTGAGGAACCTGACTCAATATTTCTACTCAAATAGACCCCAGGCTAATGATAACGACTCGCTGAACACAATGATCCAACCAGCTGTGTATGCACATTACCATGCTCTCATTAGTCTGCATTTCTTTAGCATATTAATGAGAATACTGTGGGAGAAAACGTTAAAAACCTTGCTAAAGTCAAGGTACATCACATCCACTGCTCTCTCAGCCAGAAGGGCAAACAAGTGAGGTGGGAAGGGAGCAGGGAAGGAAGATCCTGTGGCAGCAGAGCAAGGCTCCTGACACAGCTGCTCCATGCAGCATGGGGAGGAGGGACTTCAGGGACCAACCTGTGACTGGGGGAGTAGAAAAAGAAGTAAACAGGGGCAGGCAAATGGTGTGGGTAAGTGGCATGGGGGCAGTAACACAGGAGCAAGGGATGAAGGACATTATGCCTGTTCCTTAGCCCCATATTTTCCATGCGTGTACTTTCACTCCCACCTACCCCTGCCTCTGCTTATCCCTGCTCTTGCTTCTCACCCTTGCTTTTCTACCATATACCACCTCAACTACTTCCCCAACCTTTCTCCTTGCCTCTACATCATTGGCCCATTGAATCATGTTTTCCTTGTACAGCAATGGGGGGAGGAGGGCAAATATAAGATGATAACTCCAATAATTAGATGCTAGACCAGGAAAACTATAATAATTTGTAATAATGTATGAGAATCATAATAATTGATAACTATTATAATAATATGGAATCTTCAGTGTCTAGAATCTAATTAGGAGATCCTTAAATTATAATAACACAGGACTCATTGGATTTTGGAAAATACGGTATATATCTCATTGTGAAAGTCACACTTTGTTGGATTTATAACTCACACTGATCAGAAAAGTGCATCAAAAGTTATAAAACTGACATACCTTTAAAGGAACAACAGGCTGTAAAATGGATGCTCTTCATATGGTATAAAACATGTTAGGTAAAAGTTAAAATTATACTTACTGCACTGTGTTTGAGATGATGTAGTAATTAAAACAGTGTCGGTAATAGGTAAGGGCACAGTAGATTTAGATAAGGACAAGAGATTCTTGATGGAGGTACTGTCCACACCTAGATTAGAAGCTGTGAATATACACAAACAGGATTCATGTGAAAATGACACAGAAACAAATTATTTATTATAAAATAAAAAATAGATGCAGCTATGGAAAACACAATATTGGTGTGATTTATAGAAGAAGAAGCCAGGAGAACAACCAAAAATGTTAGATGTGAAGTTCGCTCCGCGAAACTCAAAACTCAGTTCTTAAAAAAAAACCCGATATATAGTGTTCTGATATACAAAAAATAACAGAAGTCAAGATTCTATACCAAGCAGCAAACTAATCCCTATAAAATGAAATTTAATAAAATGAGGTAATATGAAGAAAACTATAAAAATCTGAATATAGATATACACAAAGACATACCTGAACCACGAGGGAAAGCTGAAGAACTCATGAATAATCGTGAAGTAGAAGTAGGAGTACCATAGATAGTATGGAAAAAAGAAATCCGATCACTGCTTCTGACAGTGAAAACATTTGACACGGGACTACGAAAAAAATTTGTGAACGATGATGGGTTCGTGGCCGTCGCAGCTGGTGCACTCGTGCCTTCGGAGAAGCTGGACCTTGCTATGCCGCTAGAAGAAACCACGCCTAAGAGAGGCCCTCTGCTGGCTACAGAGGCCGTGGGGCCCGTCCGGCTGGAGACGGAAGTTTCACCACCGGTTGCAGAGGTGCCAGAACTGGGAGAAGAGTGGCCCCCTGCCGCGGCAGGTGGCGTATGGGATTCGGAGCCGGCAGGAGCAGTGCTGGGGCTGCGTTCGGAGGCGATGCCAGTGCTATGGAGGGTTTGGCCCGGGCCCATAGTGCCTGAGGCCTCGGTTTCGGAGAAGCCTTTCAGGCTTGACGGGGAGGCCGCCACACTGGTGGCGCTGCCCACCGGAGCTGTGCTGGGGCTTAGGGCTGCACTTCCCGTGTTAGTGCGGGATGCCTCCGTACCTGGACCAAGAGAGGAAAGGGCTGATTCTGTAGGATGGCCTGTAGTCAGGGGGGTCGGGGTGGCGGAGGAGGGCACATCTCCTGGTGTGCTTCGTCCAGTGGCAAGGGTGGACCCTTCTGTGCTGGAGGACTTCAGGACCACAGTGGTGTCTCTGAGGGCAGCGGATGTCCCAGAGGATGTGTCCACCCTCGCTGAAGGGGAGCCGTCCTGCCCCACGCTGGTAGGCCCACTGTTCTCAGTCCCCGGCTGAGCGCTGGTGGCGGAGATGGGAGATGAGGAAGCGGTGCTGGCTTGGTTTCCAGTGGTCTTCAGGGAAGCTGTGCCAAGACTGGGGAGGACGCCCGGGGTGGTGGCCATCGCAGCTGGTGCACTCGTGCCTTGGGAGAAGCTGGACCTTGCTGTGCCGCCAGAAAAAACCTCGCCGGAGACGGTAGTTTCAGCACTGGTTGTAGAGGTGCCAGAACTGAGAGAAGCGTGGTCCCGTGTCGCAGCAGGTGGCGTATGCGATTCGGCGCCGGCAGCACCAGTGCTGGGGCTGGGTTGATGTTTATTAATATTATCAGTGCTGAAATTATATGAAGATTGAAATCTTTATCTGTAGAAATTAGATAAAGATATCAGGCTTGAGGGGGAGGCCGCCACACTGGTGGCGCTGCCCACCGGAGCTGTGCTGGGGCTTAGGGCTGCACTGCCCGTGTTGGTGTGGGACGCCTCCATAGCTGGACCAAGAGAGGAAGCGGCTGATTCCGTGGGATGGCTTGTAGTCATGGGTGTCAGGGTGGAGGTGGAGGGCACAACTCCTGGTGTGCTTCGTCCAGTCGGAAAGGCGGACCCTTCTGTGCTGGTGGACTTCAGGATCACAGTGGTGTCTCTGAGGGGAGCGGATGTCCCAGAGGATGTGTCCGCCCTCGCTGACGGGGAGCCATCCTGACCCACGCTGGTAGTCCCGCTGTTCTCAGTCCCCGGTTGAGCGCTGATGGCGGAGATGGGAGATGAGGAAGCGGTGCTGGCTTGGTTTCCCGTGGTCTTCAGGGAAGCTGTGCCAAGACTGGGGAGGAAGGCTGGGCTGGTGGCCTTCGCAGCTGGTGCACTCGTGCCTTCGGAGAAGCTGGACCTTGCTGTGCCGCCAGAAGAAACCTTGCCGGAGACGATAGTTTCAGCACTGGTTGCAGAGGTGGCTGAACTGGGAGAGGAGTGGCCTCGTGTCCTGGCAGGTAGAGTATGGGATTCGGAGCTGGCAGGAGCAGTGCTTGGGCTGCGTTCGTTGGCGATGCCAGTGCTTTGGATGGTTTGGCCCGGGCGCATAGTGCCTGAGGCCTCGGTTTCGGAGAAGCCTTTCAGGCTTGACGGGGAGGCCGCCACACTGGTGGCGCTGCCCACCGGAGCTGTGCTGGGGCTTAGGGCTGCACT